TTCATAGACTCCCTTTTCCCTGGTGTGAGCTCCTCTCCACCCGGTTTCCACAGCAGAAGCTGTGCATCCTCCCCCCCGGTGAACAACGCCTCCTCTGCTGCATCCCACAGGAAGCAGCGCACCGTGGAGGCGTGGCCACCCTCTAGGCTCCTGAGCAGATGAAGACCCCTGGCGTCACACTCCATCAGGTGGAGGTCTCCGTTGTTCTTCCCGCCGACCACCAGCAGCTTTTGGGTGTCCTCTAGCCACCGCCCCCCCACCAGGTAGTCCACGCCTCGCCCGTCAGCCAGTAGAGTCAGGCTGCGAGCGTCGGAGGTGCTGAAGATGGTGAGAGGCTCATCTGTATCCAGCTGGCCCAAATCCCACAGGTGCAGCCCCTCATCGTGGCTGAGGCACAGCAGCTGGGTGTAGTTGGCCCCGGACCAGCACACTGAGCTCGCTGATGAGTCGCTGTTGCAGGTGGCGAGCAGCGCATCCTCCTCCGCCCCCCGGCTGAGGTCGAAAACATTAACAAGGCCATCTGTGGAGCCCGAAGCCAGGCGGTCCTTATCCCGGGGATGGAAGCGCACCTGTGTGATGTCATCGCTGTGCGACTCAGAGTATACCCCAAGAAGCCCACCTGCCGGTTTCCTGGAATCCCAGAAAATGAGGAAGCTGTCCTCGCTGTCCACTTGCTCAGTGCCGGCACACAGGAGCATGTCACTGCAGCTCAGGTCGAAGCTGCAGTAACAGTGCGCTGGATCGCTTTTAAACTTCTGGGCTGCCTCCGTCCCGGGTTGGCGGACGTCCCACACGCGGACCGTCCCGTCAGCAGAACCGGAGTACAGGAGGTCAGAGGAGGTGTGGCCAAACGTGACCCCGCAGAGCCGCCCATTGTGGCCTTGATACTCTCCCACTTGCTTCAAAGTGTCCTTGTTGTGCAGGTGGATGGTGAAGTTGGAGCAGGACACCGCCAGAAGGCCACTCGGCTGCAAGGCAACATCCAGCAGGTAGGTGGGTTCCTCCGGACAGGACCGCCTAGCGATGGACAGAACTTTAAGCTTCTCCTCCAAACCCTCCATGGAAGCTCCTGATGAGTTCCTAATGAGATGGAATAATTAAAAAGACACAGAACTCTGATCAGCAAATCCAGCAACTTTGTCTTTCACTTCCTGTCAGTGGTTAAAACCCTGAGATCCACCTGTGCCTGCAACTCATCGGTTTTATAATCTAATACAGAGCTGCTTTTCTACAACTGTGTAATAACCAGCAGTTCCACAGCGGTCTGAATGTGCCCATGTTTATTCATGTGGAAGGAGACTTGTGGGAACAGTTTCTCCCACTCACAGATAATTGTGAATATTCTTCTAAATTATGCAGCAATAACAGTGCTCCTACACCACAGTGTTATCAGTCTGTGTGTAGCTTCACTGGGGAAAATACAAAGTTGTTTTTGTTTTAATATATCCTAAACTTTTTCTTTCTGAAACACCAAAGTAAAACTGCTTACAATTCAGTCTCCTATAACAAGACTCAATAGCAAATGTATATTATCTACAGCTTTCTTTATTTGCTACATACATACGCATATGAGAACACAGCTGATGATGTTTAATAAATTGCCTAATCCAATTTTGTAATTCGGCCCCAAATTAAAACACTTCCAAAACCGCTCCATTATTCATGTTTTAGCTCTAAACACGAGTTTTAGGGATTTTTTTAGAGTTTGGCGCTGGGGTCTGTAGCTCCACGTTCATCGCTCATCGCTGTGTAGTGAATGTTATCGTGTCGCGTGCTGTTAAAGCCGACCTTCCTACCTGCTACAAATGAAGGGAAACTCCCGGTGTGTTACACACTAGTGTTTGGACACGTCCGCCGCCATTCTGGACACAACACAACAGCCCACTGCCACGTTATTACAATAAAAGACTTTGGCGTTAAAGCTCTTAAAAACACGTAACTGAGTTCATTTCACCGAAAACTACGCATGGAGGAAGTGCTTTGTGTCACAGTGTGTACAGACCGGGTGGAAACGTTCTTCATGACATAGTTCCGTTCGTGCGTTTCGTACTTATTACTTTTTTTCATATTCTGTTTTTATCTTTATTTTTAAAATATTTATTATGAATTTATTTCCCTCACAGTGCACTTTATTATAACGTTCCTTGTGAATAGTTTATATTTAATTTTTTTAATAAAATGAAAAATGTGGGAAATGTCACTATTACACTGTGCTTACGTAAGAAAAGACATAAAAACTGTATATATTTACATTTCTTGATTTTTAATTTATCTCAGCTAAAAATTGTGCAAAAATGTCTGTTCTCTCTTTCTCTCTCTCTTTAGAATTTAAAGGGTTTAATGTATCTCTGCAGTGAGTCAGCCAGTCTCAAGGCTTGGATTTAATCAAAGAGCAGAACTGAGACGTTATACTCAACAAGTAAATTACGAGGTCCTTAAACTGAGACTTGATTCATCATGCACCGGGGTTTCGTCTAATTATTTTGCAGAGGAAAGATTAATCAGCTTATTCAAGAAACACAGCTGCCGCGCATCAGAAATATAAATTAAATATGTAAAACGACCTATGAAGCGTTGCAGCAATCTCTTATTATATTTTTCTTCAATTTTTTCTTCTTAAATCTGTTTTTTTTTTCGCCTTTGGCAATTTCAGATGGCTTTTTGTTACAGACATACTTTAAAAAAGGGAACAGAACAAGAAACTCAAACATATCAAAACAAAGGGGCAAAGCTGATCTGGTTCTACTAGAAGGATTGCCTTAGGATGAAATAAATTCAGGTGTGATACCTGTGTCGTCCAGCAGGTGGCAGCAGGAGCAGCTCTCACAGGTCTCAAACTGTTCGAGGCTTTCCAGCTGACCCAAATCTGACATTGGAGCCACACAGAAACAAATTAAAGACAACCTCAGTCCTTCGGGGGTACTGGAGTAAGAGGAGGAGAGTGAAGGAGACTTTTTCCTTTTTATTATCCGTCATTTCAGACAACACTCACACAGCTGACATGACTCACTCTTGTTCTGATGTCTTTCGTGTTTCTCAAAGCTCTTTATATAATCCCACCTTCCTCATATTTGCATCTGCTTCAAACAAATCTACTTGCTTTGTCTCTCAATTTGCATCTTTTTGTGGTCATTTAACGTGTGTTCATACTCACTGTGCATCACTTTGTATTCTGGTTTTTGACACAGTGCCCCTGTGCGGCACATTTTAGTCCTTTTGTGGGTCTTTTGTACTCATTGTCATATTTGTTTGCAGTTTATTGTTTATTTTGCATTACTTTGTCATGTGTGCTTTGTGTTCCTCAATGGTCCATTTGAGTCTTTTTGCACCAACACTTCACTTTGGTATCATCTATCATCTTTACAGTCCTTCATCTTTTTTGATGACTCTTTGTGGTAATTTTATGTCTCTGTTCTCACTTTTGGTGTTTCTATGGCTCTTTTGTGCCTCTTTGAGCATTTTTTGTGTGTGTGTCTGCAACTTCAATTTGTTTGTGTTGTGAACCTCGGTGTCTCCTGTTAACCTGGAGACAAATGAAGGATTGTGAGCAAAGGTTAACTACAGTTTGAAGTGTGTGAAGTTTCTGCAGCTTTAGCCCGGACTGACACACTCGTCTTTCCCAGTAAAACATCCACAAGGCTTCAGCCGCAGTCTTGAGCGCTGTCACGTTCTAAAGCAAAGGAAAAAAAGAAGTAAGGGAAAGTCTTTCATGTTCAGGCCAGTAGCTGGAGTTTCTCTTCCCCTCCTCAGCTGAGCAGCTTTGGCAGAACAAAGTGGAAAGTTGGTCCTCCTGTGACACATCACAGCTCTGCAGCAGGAGAAACAAACACAGAAGAGACTGCGTCATCAAAAAAAAAAACAACCCAAACAGTCAAGTTCTTATGCAAATAGTCACCTGTTCACATGTTCTTTTACATGTGGACTGAATTTGACCCATTTCAGGATTACTATCCTCACCAGCACAGGTTTTGCTTCGTGAGACTTCCTGATTAAAGCCGCTGCAGTTTGGTGACAGATGAATCAGAGGTCTGTTAGTTTTTCCATCATGCCTCAAAGCAAAGCTGGGCTGACATTCACACATGCACACACACACATACACACAAATCATTTATCCATGATAAAACAAAAAACACTGAAAGTTTGGGATGGCTGCATCCAAAGCATGGGAGAGCTGACATCACACAGAACAGTTTAGGTGGACCTGGATGAAGTTATTTGTTGAAAATTTCTTTGAACACCTTTTAAAAGCGGGCAGCTTAGTGGCACCGTAGTTCGCACTGCTGCCTCACAGCAAGAAGGCTTTGAGGTCAAATCCACCATCTGGCCGGGGGACTGTCTGCGTGGGTTCACTCTGGCTTCCTCCCACAGGCGTCCAGCAGCTGAAGGTGGCCTGGCAGAGCATTTGGTGATGTCCATGGATTCTAGATATCAGGCAGTCACCGAGTGCAAAAGGATTCATCCAAGTATCAAAAACATTTGTTACATTTCAAATTATTCGTTTTGATCCTCTGACTATTATAAAATATCTGTAGTTGAAACCAAAGTAATGTAAAATGTTGTAATTCAAAAAGTTTGTAAAACCCCTCAAATTAAAGTTCCACGTGTGCACTTGACTCACATCTTATTTGATTTAAAATCCACAGTGGTGGTGCGCAGAGGCAAAACTACAAACACATATATTTTTGTAACTCTTACAAAATGTGTGTTCAGTATACTACATTATGTTCATCCTTAGAGGAAGATTTAACCAGATTAAAGAAGCAAAAGTTTTCAAGGTCATGGCTGTGGGTGCACCAGTGAAAATAATGACACACGCACATGTCCAAGGCCAGACCTACAGAATAATTAGTAACATTTTTTTTTTTTTACAGTGAGAAAGATTCAGTAAGAACAAACTTTCAAATGGTTTTACATTCATGTCCACAACTCCACATGCACACGCACGTTTTCATTCTGCAGTCTGTCACTGCAGGGAATAACTGAGGACAAGCAGGCACATATTTGATTCTCTCATTTATTATTCTCAGTTAATTCACACAGACAGAAATAAGCCACATTTTCAATCACAGATGAAAACCAACAATAAAGCCCTGCAGAAACATGAAGAAAATACTGTGAAAGTGAGCGAGACTTCACAAATAAAGAAGGAATCATGAAGGGTTTGATTACAAGCTGAAACTCACAAGAGTTCACCTCGTCTCTCTACTCTCTGACTGCGATTTGGAATGAAAGCCGCGAATTATCAGGGAGAAAAAGGCAAATTCATTTCTGCATCAAACATGTAGACTTAAAGACAAAGACTTGCAAATTTTCCTCAAGACAGCAACTAAAAAGCAAAAGTAGGGGCAATATTAAAAACTGTTCTTGTTTTTTTTATAAACAGGAAACTTGTCATCCTCCCATATTTATATACATCTACAAAGTGCAAGAGGCAACATGACGGCACAGAGCTGAGGACAGAGGAAGGCACTGACGTGTAGGGCAGTTTAGCTACACAGTTTAAATACTGCATATTTGGTCAAGAAAGACGTTTTTTCCTCTGAGATCCAGTATTTAAAAAAAGAAGAAATCAAATCTCCATCTTGTGAGTTGACAAAGCAGAGCTGGCTGTTCAAACCAATCATTGAACAGATTAAGGAAAAACCGTTTTAAATATTGTATTGCAAGAACTAAAGTTATCATAATAATAAATTAGGATCAGTTTGACAAGCATATTGTGTTATTACAGTATATAGACTTTGGTGACTCTGTCCATCCATCTCCTAATGACATTACAAATAATAAAGAAATTCTGTAATTCAGCCACATCATACCACAGAAAATAACACAGACTATATATTTTTGACAGATCAATTTAGGATTTCAAAAATATATTAATGTACCGAAATAATATCAACAAAAGATCACGATCACAACAAAGCAAAATCACGATTAAGATGATATAAAAACAGAGCCAAACAAAACTATATGATGCATTTTAAAGATGTTGTACCAAATATACATCTTTAAGTTTATAATTAGGCTCGTCGAACATCACGAGGCCAGCCCTGCTTTGACTCCACAAAAAAGAACATCCACAGGTGGAAACCAGTCTCCAAACACAGGAACATATCACAGCGAGACGTGTCAGGGAGTTCAGCTTCATCTCCTTTGTCGATGTGCAGGGGAAATGTCCTTAAAGATCACAGATGACAAATGTTGCTTTGTCATCGACTTCTTGCAGTTTGAGCTTCTGTCCGTCACTCACACAAACTCAGCTCAGCCACAGGATTAACCCAAACTGGGTTTTGTCACTGAAACAGAAATAAACTTCTCTTTTCTGTGGAACAGAGACAAAACCGCATGCCCAAACACACGCACAAAAACGTCAAGAAATATACAAACGCTCTGACAAACACAAACATATTTGTGCACGAGGCAAGGCCACAGGAAGTGAAACGAGCCAGGCGGCTGACAAATGCAGAGAGTAAGCTGGTCCGTTTGGCTTTGACGAGTCGGTTAATTAGAGGCAAATCTGCAGCTGGATTAAGTTAAAATACTAAACTATATGTGAACATCCTAAAGAATTAAACCAATGCAATCAGCAGCTCTCATCACATCATTGGATTATCATTTCAGACAGAAGTAGTCGACTACAGAAAAACAATAAAATCTAATTCCTCAAACATACCACAGAAAATTGTAGTATCCAGGGACAGTTAAGGTCACTTATGAAGGGAAGACTCCAGATGTTTGCTGGTTCAAGCTGCTATACTGGAAAATTTCTCTGCTACTGCACAGATGTCTGTAAATGACTGAATCTTACTTGCATTAGCTAACAGGTGCTAATGTAAGTAAAGCATCTATTCATTATAACGGTCACTCGTCATAGTGTTTACCGACCAACTGCAAGACGACAAATCAAAGGGAACTACTGATTGGACTGCATTGAGGACCAGCTCCACCTTCATTATTTTTGCCTGGCTCGGAGGGGGAACAGTGCATTCTGGGAACAGTGCATTTATTTTAGCAGAGTACCGTACACAAAACTAACATAAATAAATCAGCTTGGCAAAAAAAAAAGAAGAAGAAAAAGAAATTAAGACTAAAGAAATGTGTGTCAATGGCAGCATCCTGCTGGGAGAAAAACTTTTTTTAAATGTGGCTTTAAGCAAGGCACACACAGCTTAGAAACAGGAAGCAGGCATCTGGGCTCCTGGCCTCAGTCTTTATACTCAGGTTCAGGTTAGAGTGGTCGAAGGAAGCTTTGTTAATCAACTAATTAACCAATTAATCACTAGTTGTGGTGTGGAGGAGTTCGGGTAAGAGTCCGAGTGGAAGCTTTTTTTTTTATTGCAAATGTAAAATGCTTTTTAACAAGTTTAACATCACCAGAGTCTTACGATGATAGATTCTGCTCTGACATCTTACCAAGCTACATTTGAATCAAATAGTTCTTTCACAATGGAAATAGAAAAAAACAAAACGCAGCAAAACCTCAAAAATCCTTGTAAAACACAACAGATGTGCTTTTGGGGAGACAATAACGTGACGGATGGAAGTGATAACCTGATGGTAAACAGCTGATAGCAAACATGTATGCACAGTATTACAGGATCAGTAATACTGTACTTTGCATCTTCTTCTCCATGTTATACAACAACTCTGCTTCTTTTTAGTGTCTCAGTGCAAAAGTTGACATGTTTTGGCTTCTGTCACATGTGTAGCTGTTCCATCATGTTATCACCTCCCCAGAAGCATATCTTTTGTGATTTTCTTTGTTTACTTCCATTGCATTTTGTTCAACTTCTGTTGTGTTTTGTGTGCTTTCTGGATTGTTTTTCTATTTGCTGGCGTTTTCTTATGTTGCAGTGCATTTGACTTCTCAGGGCAACCATGTTTTTGATTACTTTTGTCAAAGGCATTTAAAAAGTTCACGTTCACGCCGCTTTTCTGGAGCAATTGTGTCTTCAAAATTTGAAGACAAAATTTTCCTACATTTATAGAATCAAGTATCAAATTCATGCATGATAAAACAGTGAATAATGTTGCACTTGTAGTCGAATACTTTCTAATATTTTTAGAACGCGCCTGTTGTGCACAAAAAAGTTGTCAATGGAGTTCCAATTTTAGAAACATGAGAAAACTTCCCTCCGGACGGTTTATCTCCACCACCTCCTCCCACCTGACATCAGCAAAAGAACCTCAGCTAAGAACAGGAAGTGGATGTGAGCTGACATCTCTAATAGGAAGCAAGTTTACAGTGTTTAAAAATAAAATAAAATAAAAAAAACCAGGCTGAGCTGAGTGCTCCAGTCATTCTTAGAGAACAAAATAAAACCATTAAAACCCTCTCTGTACATTTCCCAAACAAAGCGATGCATTCTCCTTTCCTTTTGCATCGTACAGTATGTGCCTGGTATTTCTTTTTTCTCCCATCGGGTTGCAGGAATAGCAGTCAAACTCAGAACTCAAATAGTGGGGAAAGCCCTTTAAGAAAACACAATCTAACCTCCTGAAAAAACAATGTGGCTGAATTCTCAGACATCAGAGACGTAACAACAAATCAAAAACTTTAATCAAACTGGTTTCCTCTCCACAGGCAGGGGGTTCAGAGGTTAAAGACTAAATGTTCCTCCGATCCAGTAGAGGAACACAGGAATCATAAAATGAAAGGTCTCTTATTGCTTTAAGAATTGAGACAAAGGAGAGTATAATCAAACAGAAACATTAAGAGGCTACTAGACAAAGAACCACACAAAGTTTCAACAGTGACACTGAACTCAAACTACAACATTCTTTAAACTAGTTAAACTAAGCACTTAATTTACAACCCAAACTCATTCTGCCATTGATCCATCTGGACATCCGACTAAAAGAAGACTTTCTATTTTATTTATTTATTCATCACGTGCCTGGATATCGTTGGCTTTCAGACTGTTAGTGAGACTTACTAAGTCTTTTTATTTTCAACATTTTCTGTCAGGCGTTTGAAGATTTATTATTCACTTGAGTTGTTGGAATAATTTAAGTTTTCCTAAAAAAATACTTCTGTGGTTCTTTGCCTGAGCTCTTAATAACAACTTCAGTCATAACAATGCAAATACTAACACATCATCTATTAGTGGTCATGACCTGCATTTTTAGTCTTCTAGAGGCCACTGTTGAAATGCTTTTTTGAATTTGAGGAGTGACTTTCCAGCTCTGAGAGTGTCAAAGCATTATCTGACTGGATTTTACTCTTAAATAAATCTAAAGAACAAAGAGATATCGCTAGTGAACTGTTAACAGTCTAAGCCCATTTTCCATTGCTCAGGATTCACCCGTCTTTAAAAGTAACCTGAGACAACAAAAACAAAAAAATCTGATAAAAACTCTGCATCCAGATCAGCAATTAGGCTTTAATGTACCTTCATCAGTCCCAAACCCAGCAACCTCCAGCTAGGGATTAGGCTGTGGATGAAAACAAGCAGCAAAACTGATCTGATGACAGCATTTAGATTTTTACTTCACTTTGACTGGCCACACAGTCAAGTAAGATCCAATCAGGAGAGCTGCATGTAGCTGAAGAGCAGCGGGACCAGGAAGATCACGTTGAAGCCCACTGTCCCGTAGACGATGAAGCGGTAAGGCAGCTCCACCTCCATGTGCTGCCGGGCCTTCCTCAGGTCATCAGTGGGCACTCTGAACGCTCTGCACACCAGTGGGATGGTGATGGCCTTCATCAGCGCCCGCGTGGCCAACAGCACCAGCACTCCCACAACGAGCCGCAACATTACAACAGCCACCAGGCTGGGGCTAAGTGCGGGCATGCTGAGGGGAAGCTGGTCTGGTGTCAAGTCGGGCATCAGGCCCAGGTGGTAGTTGACATGGGAAGCCAAGGCAATGCCGGCACCAGTGCCCAGGATCTGAGCGGTGTCACCACGAGAGGTGCTCCAGGTGTCCAGGGTGAAGGAGAAGAGGCCCAGGCCCAGGTGGAGGGAGATGATGATGATTGGAGCGTAGCGGCAGGTCAAATTGAAGCCATCGATCAGGTCCAGTATCGGCAGGAAGAAGCACAGGATGAGGATGCTGTACAGAAACCCAGCGATGACGTCCTGAAGGAAATACAAAGACAGAAACTGTAAACAAAACAGCACAGCTGAGACTGTCATTGACATGTGTTTCACATGTGTGCAGATGAAAGCAACTATGTTGTGAATTTGGACTGAAACAAAGTGTATGATGTCAGAGGGTGGAGAAGTCTGAAAAGGGGACTGTAAATATCAACCATGTTCTAGTATCCTTCTTGGTAGGTTCTTCTTCCACAAACACCTAGGAGAATACAAGCTCAATTCCAATAAAGTTGGGACAGAAATGTTTTCTCTCAGCCAAAGTTCATTTAAAATGGACTGAGGAAAAGTGGAAAACTGGTCTGTGGTCGATGACAAAAGAAGAGAAAGCCCATGCGCTTTGTTATTAGCGCTCAGTTCCAAAGCCTTCTCTGATTGTATGGGCCTGTTCAGCGAACACAAATTTCCCTCTTGGCTAGAAAACATGATTTATACTGATCATGCATTCTGTGAATAAATGCTGAAACAACACAAGCAGCAGATTAAAATTTTAAACCTGCACAAGCTGATTCAGCAGCAAAATCCCTTTACCAGATAAGGGGTGCTATTATTAGGATATTTATTGGAGCATTTCCTTCAGATGGGAACAAGGAAGTGGATCAGCATTGACAGGAAACAGGAAAACGGGAAGATCTACATGCTGACGAACTCTGGACTCAAACACAAAGGTCACAGCTATTTATTTACTGATCTCTGGAGTAAACTGACAGTTGGCTTCTTGCCTCCTCTAAACCTTTCAAATCTCTGACTTCACCCCAGCTCCTGCTCAACGTCTCCAAGCTGTTTCTGAAATAAGTGACTCCTTGTATCTGGATGGCATTCTGTGATCAGTCTACTACCAATCTAAGAATCCTTACTACCCGACATGGTTCCCACATCACACTGACAGAATCAAAACCCTGACTTGACTTGACAGACATTCATCTGCAACACTGTACCCATATTAAATTAATTCACAATTAAACCTTATTTCTAGATAACGTGTTGTTCCACCAACAAACTTTACAAAAATGACATGAAACACAAATTTTACCTAAGCCGGATCTGTTCCCACGCCTCTGAGACACTGAAGCCTTATTCTTGCATGTTCTTATGTCTCTCTTTTGTTGTAAGAGAGACATGTATCTGGCTGTGTGTGTATGCTGATATAATGCTCAGTGTTCGCAACTGTTTGAATGTTGGGGAGGAAAAGTAACATTTCCTGAAGCACCACAGGGCAGACGGCAACTTAAGCAGCTCTTCAAGTTGAATGTCGGCCTGTGTGTGCGGCTACACTTTGGTTATGGGTTGGGGGGAAAATAACATTTGTAATTTTCTGTGCATTTTCTGGAGTTGATTTTGACGCACTAAACTAGAACTGATAATATGCAACAGTAAAACGACATTTTTTTGTGTTGTCCGAGATTAATTATATAACCGATGTGGAAGGATCGAGGTGCGATCTTTGAATGTGGTTTTAAATGGTGATCCTGCATTACATAGTAGGAGAGGTCTTTCGAGCCTGATCACAGTTGGCGCTCGTAGGGAAAAAAATTAAGCAAAGGCTTGCGTGCGATGAATGGAGTTCCGACAAAGAAAAAAAACCTGGTTACACTGGCAGCAGAAGCCTCTTTTGTTTGATTCATCCTCCAGCTGCTACGGGTGTAGCAAAAGAAGTAACGGTAGAGGAACTAAAGCTTATGTTTCAGTTCGCGTTATCACCCTGCAGGATGCGTATGGCAAACTTGACACAGTACCCGAGTTTATTCAATTATGCACACTTATGGCATGTAATGAATAATCCTAATCAGATCACACTGGTTTGCAGAGTGTATATTGAACACTGCCATCAGTGGTACTTATTTTTCTCCTTTAATGTATGTTATACATTAGCATACTGTGGCTTACACGTTTGCTATCATTATGCTATTCACGAGGTCTAGTAGTAATCACGTATCTTAAACATTACAAGAATGAAAAATGGGAATCCCTCAAGTCCATTTCTGCTGACAGGCTCAGATTTCCTGGCCATTTACGCACATGCCTACAGCGAAGAGACTCCGTTGGGTACGTTGCTATAACGTGAGTGCACACACTGTAAATTAACACCTTATCATTCCTCATCTTGCTAAGCTGGGTGTGTACACTATTTACTTTTGTGATTAGTGTCTGCTTTCCCTGGAAGGAGAAATCAATGATAGCCACTGTAACTTTACACCAGTTTCCATCCACCAGCCAGACACTGGAACATTGCAGCCATCTCTGGCAGGGTCAGCCCACTCGAATGGCCGCACTGGAAGGAAACTGAGGTCCTGTTAGAGTTTAAGTATCTATTTGGCTGCTTAAGTACATGTTGTGGTACGTGTAAGCCCTGAGCTAACAGTCAGTTAGTACCCCGTGCTGAGCCACGAGCGCCAGAGCCGCAGAGCTGGCGTCAGATGGATTGTAGCCCAGCAACAACTTGTGTCCCAGCAGTTCCACTTTTGACAGATGGTTCACTATAAGGACACATTTTGCTGTGTGACCATATCAAAATGAGTCAACAGTGAGATAACCAAATGACCTCTGAGAAGGTAACTGGTGCCAGTGCCATCCCACCTTCTCTCTTAATAGCACACACGGTGAGAGGCTGGAAGCTTTCAGCCATCTGTAATTTTCTCCTCCACTGACACCAATGTGCTGCCTGAACTAAAATTGTCCAAAAAAAGGGTGTGCCCTTAATGAACAACACACTGCATGTCATTCAGTAGATGCCTTAATCTTTACAACAAAATAAAAGAGCATTAAATTGTCAGAATGGGTGGCCTAAATGTTGAAAGAACCATTAAGAACTCTCTCTGTAAAACACAACCACATGTGCCTACTGCCTGTTCACTAAATTACTGCAAATGATGTACAAGTTCAATTCACGCATCAGTAACAAGTACATGATGTAAATTAACAGCTGCAGCATTATTTCTTAATCAGTGCAACTAAAGAGAATTCCCAATAGTACGCATTACTTTCTTGTTTCATTATTAGGCTTTAAAAAATATCACAAAGTTAGTCACTGACATTGTGATTTTCTTTTTTGAATTTTAAAATACTCAATGCCGGTTTAGCTACACGTCTTTGCTCTCTCTCTGCCCACTTTCCTGTCCATCTTCACTGCATCTGTCCACTAAAGGCAAAAAATAATAATCATTTAAATTTTGAGAGAAGACACAGGGAAGCAGCTGGAGGGAAATAACAGGATGTGGGCACATACACAGTTGATCGGTATGTTTCTAAGTTTACTAAAAATAAAGTTAGTGGAGTTACATCAGACTACTGGGCATACCAACATATTAAAAGCCTCAAAATCCTATAAATAATGTGATTTGTAAGATAGCAGAAGCATAATAATAATAAAAAAATGTTGCATTTAAATATCAAAACATTACAGGGAGCTAGAAATGGCATACAGTTCTCACGAACTAGTAAACAGTTTGCAGAACACACCATGATTATCAGGGGCAGAACAGCTTTTTGTCTGCAAGCTCTTCCTGTTCAACAAAGGAGGGGGGAAGCAGTTTGATTGGGCGTGATGATTTCCAGATCTCTTTAAGTGCCCTGCAGGCCTGGCACAGCAGACCGATAATAGCTCACCAAGTATTCAAGCTCCAGTCCCTGATTCCCAACAGTGATGTGGAGCCTTCAGCCGTCGGGCTAAGTCACAAGGAGGAAATGAGCTCTGTGCCTGTGCACCAGCAGCTCGAGCATTCTCAAGAAGGTTCACGTCTTTTCTCTTGACCTGAATGTTGTGTTTCTGAGGTCACTGTTTTTCAGGCGAGTCACACCTTAAAGTTCACACCCATTTTTTCCCCGTAATCCAATCAAATCTGAATAGACAGACATGACGCACACATGTTCAGAGTCACACCAGTTTTCAATTTTCAGGGGTATCTGTACCACTGAGAAGAAACCAACTTATGTAGAAAGATGCTCTTCAGAATTTTATAAGCTGGCTAAATGAGACTGTCTCTACAGCTAAACATTAAATAACTCCCACTTTACTAAAATAGAGGGGCTTATACTGTAGCACAAGTGACGGCATAAATGTTTCTTGTTTATATTCCTCAAAGCATTATGGTTGTTAATTGCTCAAATAAAGAAAAATCATGTTCTTACATACAGACCAAAACTTTATTTTTTATTGAATATATTTTTATTGAAGGCTAAAAGAGTCTTAAAGAATCGTTGTTATCATGGAATAAAAAGAAAACCAAATAAAAAGACTGAAAAAAAAATACCGGTATCATATTTGTCCAATTCTTGTTTTCAAACAACAGGCTTGAAATTCAAAACTGGTTCAACCCTATGTAATAAAACCTCCTGTACAAAATGATGTCACCTCTAAGCTCAATGGTTTTTGAGCTCTAGGACTTTGGTGTGATAATCAAGGGATTTTTTTTTTTAACTGTGACAAAATCACTACACACACAAGTTAAACATAAATATGGCCAAGTCAAACATTATCACTGACTCAGAGAGAAAGTTACAAGTGACAGGGTCTTTATGTGTTCTCTCAGGCTGTGCACAGCCTGCTGCGCTCTCATTTGCTGAACAGAGCAGAAGGAGAGAGATCTGCGAGTGGAGTGGGACAGCAGGACCCCCATTTACAAGGCAGTGCTGTCCATAAATATTTCAGGAGGCAATTCTTAGAAAAATCTAATTAAATCACAAAATGTAGCGGTCTGCATGCTGGAAATGAGGTGAACTGAAGCGTAATAATCCATAAGGATGTGGTTCTATATTAAAATAAGAACACCCAAACCCCAGAACTTCAAATCAATACAACAAAAGCATGACCTACTGAGCAAACAAATATTCTTACTTTTCAACTTCTCAAAATCTGAAATCCATACCCAATACTGCAAAAGTACTGTTGATATAAAAAAAAAAAAATCTATGTGACTACTACACCACACATGGCTTTATTTCAAGCTTTGTGTGAAATGGTGAAAAGCATGTGCACACCTTTCACAGATTATATGATAATGTCATTAGAAGTTGCACTGGCTGACCTGGCTAAATGTTACACAGTGCAAGTATGACATAGTTCAACTGAGGAGTTAAAATACAGATGGTGTGTCTTTATGATGTCATGGACCGCTGTACAAAGACATGGTTTCTTAAGGCTTACTTAAGGGGGAATTGGTTATTTTAAGGGACAATTAAGATCTTATAGATAAACTGACATCATTGCTTAAAGTCAACCCAGACCTGGTGTGTACTGCAACAGTTGCTATGGTTACAGACTTTTTTTTTTTAACATATCCATGGTGAGACAGTGAGGAGAGCCAGCAGGAGTTTCTGGCTTGCTCACAAATACTTCTTAATCAAGAACAGTAAGCGGTCACGCTGCAAGAACGATGAGGACTTTAATATGAGAGACAGACAAATACATGCCATTTAAAGTATTTCACATAGTTTTCATACAAAACAATGTTAAAGCATCAAGGCCCAAGCGCCTGACTGCATAATTAGTGAATGTGCCACAGCTTGTGCTGATCAGCCCTCCCTGAAGTACTCTGTGCCACCTCTTTTGCTGCAGCTGAGCAAAACCCACACCCCACTAACCCAGCATTTACTGTTATTACTTGTTGATAAGCTGACTAAGTCTTATTGATCTCACAAGCAAAAAATATATTACTGTTTAAAGGTGCACTTTAATGTGAAGGAGTCTAGCTTTAATTTATGAGCTATTTTTTACCCATTTATTCTTAATATAGGGCCACTGGTCCTTTATTTATGTAGGCAAAATGACAAATTTGTCTCACAGGGCTACTGAGAGAAATTTAGTACGTGGATATCAATGTAATACAGGAAAACAGCAGATTCTTTTGCTTTGGAAATCACAAAAACTTCTCTATTTAACAGTTTCATGTGATCTTTTGAGAACTCATTAAGTAATGTGGGACCCATGAGGGAGTGTTTTTCCTTGTCTTTATTTAAATGAATGCTCACTATTTTGACAAATCACATATAAACGTTGAATCAGTCCTGGATGTTTTTCTTTTAATTTTTTTTTTTTTTTTAATGACAGCTTTTTTCTTGAAAAACTCTAATAAGCTCCTTGGGGCATAACTGCTGCTCCTCAAGCAGCTGTGATTTTGAAGGCTGATTGTTGTCGCTCTGCTTAAATGTCAGGATCAATCGTCTCAGCACGCTCATTTCGACTGAACTGTAATCTGACTGACTGCTAAATTAATCATCTTAAACACCTTTCTAGGTCAGCTCTTGTCTATTTGTGGAGAAAACTGGACCTTTTTGTTTGACATGCAGCAGAGATATGAAACCATGTGAGCAGGCAGATGTGCATGTGGTTTTCACAGCGATACCACCTGTGGGCACTCACAGAAAGCTCTTAAAGGTCTCTGATGTGGAATTACTTTCTGAGTTTGTTTGGGAAGATGGTCAGCGTGCTGTAATGTCTGCTGGTCTCACACCACCATCCATCACTGATACAGTCATGACCACGGAGAATGTTCCCTCTGCAACAGACAGCCCAACCCCACAAGTGCACCAAGACTGACATCGTTTACCAGTGAGATTCACCCCCGTACAGACTACCAGACATCTGACCAAAACATCTGTGGTGACTCTTGAGGATTTTTTCACCACAGAAGTATTGATGTGTTTCTTAAAAATAAATCCATGAAAACATCTGGCATTCAAGCCGAGTCTGACTTCTTAAGCCAGAGTTCATGATTTTCTAATATATATGTATGAACTGCAAAAGGAACTTGATTCAGACTGACTCAGGATTGAATTCTATACCAGTCAGCACATACTGCTGGAGCTACAAGTAAGTATCTCCAGCTGGTTGATTTCATTTCCCCCCCATCTCTTGCAACCTATAGGACTTTGAGAAAACTTCTAATGCTGTAGGGAACCTGAGGTATACACACCTCTGTGGTGATAGATTTGTTATGACTGTACTCCGTTAACGTGAGAGCAGATAAAAGAAGCAGGGGCAAGTTTTTGCAGGCAAAAACATCAAGTGTTCCACTACTAATTCTCGCTGATGGTATATACAGGCCTAAGCATGCTCATGACAGAATCACTGGTCCAGGTTAGCTGAAAGGCATGGTTAGTACAGGTAGGCTCTAAACCAGGGAGTGGATAAGGGACCACATGAAAAACTGGGACTGTTGATAAGCTGAACTTAAATCTGCACAATATTAATTTTGTCTGGTGTTGAAGTTGGCTCCTTTGCCATCTTTGTTGCCTGACTCTTGACCTTTAAATCTATCTACTCCACCAGTGTGCTGATTCATGTGGCACCTTGGCAGAATTGAGCAGACAGTTAATCATGAGTGGGACTAACACTGTTGTCAAATTGTGTGCCAGTGCCAAGGAGCAGTAATAACAAACAGAAAATGAGAGAATGAGAAGTGAAATAATAACAGCAATAGCGACAACATCTACTGGCCTGCATTTTTAATATTGCGGTGTGTTTCACTTCCTCACTGTATTTGGTTAGTTTGGAAGCAGTGTCAGACTGAAGATTCAACAATGCAAGGAGTTGACAACTATGTCTGATATGAAACAACCATTACTGTTCATTTGATGACTTATTGTGAACATCACAGTTTGGTATATGTGAGGAGATGCACTTCCATAACTATGAACTCCACAAACAGCACAGAACTGCAGTGGTTCACCTACCTTCTTGTTGTTACCTTTAGCTGCCTTCTCAACATTTTAACACAGGAAAGCTACTGTTTGGACTAAAGTTCAGAATACACCTCCTGCTTAACATCAACAGCTCGAGAGGTTTCCTGTTCCTGAGCCTAGCTGTTAATCACAGTATAAAACAAAGACATTTTCAAGTTCCCATCCACTCAAAATCATGTTTCCATTATTGTTCCTTCCCTTGCAGTTGGACTGATGTATGTGCAGTGAACCTGTTCTCCTCTTTTCTAAGCTCACCTTAGATCTGAGGTTAACACAGGAACAAAAAAGCAGGATTTTGAAATGTCACTAGTCCATCCTCCAAGTGTGACATTTAAATATTTATTGGTCCCAAAAGTTTTAAAAAGAGAAAGAAAACAGCATACCTTTTTGTTAAAGTGCACAGAGACTTGAACAACCACTATTACACAATGACAACTAAAAGTGAACTAGAACAGACAACTTGTTAAATGGTAACTTATTAAAAAAATAAAACAATTACACATATCTTTCTTGTCTTAAAAACATATTCTTCTTTGTTTTTATTGCCAAATGGGAGTGCGTCATACACTACTATCCCAAAGGAGCAATAACACAGTCAATTATTTGCCAGCCGTTGCTGAATTGCTGAACCGGTAAATGGTCTGTGGTGCTGTCAGACTAGTGATCACTGTACAAACATATAAAATATAAACAAATAAATGCATCCAAAGCCAAAAACTACAACAGCCTTTAAAAAGTGTTGAAATACATTTTCTTTCTCAATAAAGATCCTCTGGTAAATGACGCTAGCATATCACAACTATGGACAGCTGTCTGAGAGAGGGTTGACCCTTTGAAGAAAGGTCAGATTGTTGGTAGTAAAAGTTAAACAATATTGCTGTGTGAAAGGCCTACCCTTCACAGGTTCTTATATTAAAAACGAATTGACACCAAACTACTTTAGCTTGGTAAATAGCACCAAAAACGTAAGACAGAAAGTGCTGGAGTTCTTACTCTAAAAGGTAAGAACTCATTACTTCTTCAAAAAATAATGTATTACTTTACTTATTTACTCCTCTTAGTTACTTACTTACTCCTTCATTATACTCCTCATAACCATACATTTGCATTACTCTGCAAGCATGCCCTGAGATGACGACTTCTCACAGTTAACAGTTAACCTTAACTACGTGCCCACACACTGGTACAAATCACTACTGTTGCTGTTCATCCAACAGACCTGCTATGATGTTTAAAAACACAAGATGATATTAAACATGTCCTTCGTTTGGCAAGACTACAAGTCTGTGTTTGTGTGTGTGTAAGACATCGATCACACTCACCAGCACCGAATGCATTCCCATGTAGATTCGGCTGGAACAAACCAGCAGACACCAGCAGAGAGCCAAGATGAATCCCAGTGTGGATGGGTACTGTGGAGGTGAAAGGAAAAAAGTTTAAAGACATCTAAAAAGCCTAAAAAAACTGAATTTATGATGGTGAAACACAGAAGCAAATAAATCTTCACATATACATACATATACATGTTTAATATTTTTACTTTACAATAACAACTAATTATGCATGACACAATGTTTAAGGCATGTAGTGCAAAATACAAATAAAAAAAACAAAGTGTATTCTGAACTGCACTGCGTGAGCATGCTTTGCTTTACATCAAAAAGTGCACTACTGTATCTGTCAGTGAGTCACTGTATCAAAGCTAACCTATCAAATTTGTGTTTATTGTTCTGTATTTGCATGTCAACAAAAGAACTCATGTCGTGGGAGCAGAATTTCATCCAGAACTTGTTCAGTTTGCAGCTTATAATGAGCCTTAAAATGTTTCTGTGATGTAGTGGATATGATTATCTGCTAATGTGTACCAGACTCAAATGTCCTCATAAATGTTTCAGTAATTTTGCCACTTCCTTATCAGATGCTCCTGGCCTGCAGCATTGAGAGGAGGGAGCCAAGGCGTGTTTACTTGTATAACACCTTTGAACAACACAAAATAACAGCCTTATGTAAGGCATAAAATATAAAAGAAACACATAGAAATTTGAATACAGATGAATAGGATTTGAAAAAAGGAAAAGAAAAAAAATACCTAATGGCAACTACCAACTAGCTAAAGTATCTATCGGACATTTAAAAAATATATATATGTAGATATATATTTATGTTTAAGCAATTTGAATGTCAACGAAGTTTATGGTACAATCTTGGTTGCCTACCATAAAGATGTAATTATGTCCAAAGTCAAAGGGCTGTTTTCTGTTGTTCCACCTGAATCAGCATTGAGGTATCGCTTGCTAATTTTAATTTCCGGAAGTTATGTTTGTAGGTGCAGTTCTATGTACATCACTAAATTTCTATTAATTTACTAATAAATACCAATTCAGTACATTTATATTCCAGTATGTACTTATTTGTAATACAAAGTTAGGAAAGCACTGTTTAAGTTGGGCCTTATGGTACCTTGCAGAGAAAAGAATGATTACAAGTCTTTCCTCGCAGTGAGGCATCCAGCTTTTTCATTTGATGCTGGTTTTGGGTCAGTATTTGGTATTAGAAGTTACCCGAAGCCTAACTGGATCAGAGCATCCACAGATTCAGCATGCAGAAAGACTGAGAAAAGACACAATGAGTGACAGTTTGACTGGAAGAGAAGGCAGAGGATACAGTGAGCTGCTGAGGTTTGCACACTTGCTAAAAACCTTTTGCGTTGCTTGCTGTGGATACTCTGAGTTCAGATGGCTCATATTTCCTCTCTCAGAACAGAATTACAGTACTAATCCCACAACATCACAGCATCTCCCAGCACTGTGGCCTTCAGGGGAAAATGAATCATGAGAGCTACCTGATGGTGCTTGGTGAAGGCTGATTAAACAGAGATAAGATACTGATTTATGGGGTGACACACTTGACACCAATTTCCAGTGAATAATCCTGTGATACTGCAAACAGTTGCTCACTGCAGATGAGGCAGAAACCTTACTAAATATACAGCTATGAGACAGCTGGCTTAAACACATTCTAACAAACCTGAAAGAGCTTTTATCAGGGTTTTGTTGCATTTCTTGGGCTTTTTTTTTTTAATGACTGGCACCAGTGTGAAATTCTGGGTCATGGCACGTAACAGAGACTGATAGTAAAAATACATTTTACTCCAACTTTCTCCATTTAAAATTTATGGAACCAACTGTTTTTGTAATAAAAGATATGATTTGTTCCTAAAAGTGTAGCTACTGCAGACAAACCACAGCTAACCACAGCAGCACCTTTATTCAAACGTATGCTCTCACTGCAAAGTAGGGCTGCCACAAACGATTATTTTGATAGTCGACTAGTCACCGATTATTTTTGCGATTAGTCGACTAATCAGATCATCATCCATTGGAGGTACAGCGTACAGCTTATTGCACCAGCAGCATCTGGTCTTATATAACTATCATTAGCTTACAGCTTGAAGTGTTTGTGCTAACTAAAAATAAAGACAAGATGGCAGTTTATTAATTTTTAATGAAATTTGCAGATTGTTTCGGTGAAGTTTAATAAACTCCTTGCTTTCTAAAATATAACAGGACACCGGAGTATATTCTCCAGCGTCTCACACTTCTGATAATCAGCTGTCTGCTTGACAGTTTTAGCTGTGCAAAAACTATAACTTTAATCTCAGCCAAACCGATTTACTCAGGAACAAATAAAATACTAAAGAAAGCCAAACAATAACATTTTTACGTTATCTAAGTGACTTATATATATGTTTAACCTGACTAGTGAAAGACGGCGGTGGGTTTGAAAACGATTTGCCGGGAGTCCGGTGTTCTCACGGCTCTAGTTAGCCTTGCCCCCGCCTAGCTAACGAGCTAGTGGGTAACAGACGTCTCCGAAAACGTCGGAGCGCTTTTGAAAATACGTGGTGTCTTGATAAACTGAGCAGATATTTGAGGTTTACACAGCTACATTCTCGCCTGAAAATATGTTAAATGTTTATTTTGTGACCCAGAAAGAATAATAAGAGTAAAGTTAAAACTAACTAGCTGCCGCCATTGTTGACAACTGCGCTGGGCTGCGCTATGAATTCTGGGACACAGCTTCTTCTTCTTCGGGGTTTAACGGCAGCTGGCATCCTTGTACATGCAGTGCTGCCATCTTCTGTTTCAGTCCGTTATTACACTCTTAAATCCTACTACTCATTCCTGCGTCCTTTGTGATCTTACAAAGCTTCAAACGATGCGTCGACTATTAAATTAGTCGTCGACGATTTTAATAGTCGACATAATCGTGACTAGTCGACTAATCGTGGCAGCCCTACTGCAAAGTATCATATGCATATATTTGTGTATATAATTGCGGTTCATCCCTATCTTTAGTGGGGTTTTTAATTTCCACGTAGGCTGTCAGAGGGCACAAGTTACTGTGTTTTTGATTATTTTTCATGACAACAGTATACTAACTAAACTTAAAGGCTAACCCTGCACACTAGAGATCAGTGGGTTTAAAATGAACCAAATGGCACACTAAAGCAAACCTTCTACTCACACTTATGACATTTGTGGAAACCAAGCAGGACTTATTTTTGTTATGCAGTGAACTTCACTAGCATCTAAATCATTGCTCTTAGTTTCCTCAGTCACGGTAGATAAAAATGGGAACCTCCTTGTGACCAGGAAACATCAGTGGTTGCCCGGTGATTGCACTGAATTCCTTTGCATTCAGCGACTGACAGCAAATAGTTGCAGTGACCAAGTGGTTTCCCAGAGGTTGAGCATGTAACACCCTCAAACACTTCTGAACTCAAGGCACTTGGACAAGCTACTAGGTTGGACACAACCTGTGTCCAAATTCAATTTATAAACACAGACATATTGCCAACTAATGCAACTGCAATTAATGTGAGTCAGTCTGGGTGATTGATGAGCGCAGCTCATCTGCAATGGGTCTCTCTGCAATAGGGGACTCGACTTAACAAGGCTGCCATCTGGTTGTACTCTGGTTACATTCCTATATATAAACAAGATTTCCAAGCAACTGTCATTTTGCACTTAAATCAATTACGTCAGTATTTATGGAGCAATTTCTGTTTCAGCTCTATGAGGTTCTTATTTGACTGAAAGTATTTTAATGTAAATATCTGTATGTAAACAGCAATTGATTTGCAACAGCTTTGTGGTTTTTGCCTATTTATCACACTTAATTGTAGTATTAACTTCAACTGATTCGATCATAAACTGACAGTAGATTCTTACTGCTCCTTCATGCACCAAAGCTGCAAAGAACTGACTTTGACTGTCTACAGATCTGGTTCCCATCTTTAAAGCAAATATTTAAATGGCAACAAGACTCAAGTTCATTGCACACTGTCACAATAATTTTGGATGTGTTCTGGTTTCCAAACACTGTTTTCTTTAGTGTTAACGGTGCACTGCTGCTGATACTCTATGCAGTAAGCAAAATGTAACTGAACTGAATAGTCATAGGTGGCAACATTGGTGACAATATCTCATCCAGCTTCAAATCAGAGCTGGACTAATGCCAATCTACTAATCCAGTATTTGGATGGATATTAGTCCAGTTCTGACTTGAGAAATACTACATCAGTAGATCCATAATTGTCAACATGCTACATTAGGATGCAGAACATTATACATTATAAACATATCAAAAACACCAAACACCTGCCTAACAGACACTGGAATTATATTTTAGCCATCCACATTCAGAGTGAGCAGTAGGCATCTTTCTTGAGGACAAAGTACAATATTGCACCAGAAAGGCGACTCTTTAAAGCATATCCTACATTTAGCAAGACTCCCGCGAGACTCTTCTACAGGTGTCTTTTTAACCAGTGAGTTTTCAATTATAAACTCTAAGACCTTTTTCAAGAATGGGGTCAGCGGAGAGGGAGGTTCTGGTTGAAAAATAAAGCGCCTTTATGTGTGTGGATTAGCTGTGAAGCCAAGTCAGATGCAGGAGCCTGACACACAGATTGACACTGAGACTGAGAAAAATCAGCTGAACTTCATGAGGGGGGCGGGGGCTGTGAGGACACCATCAAACACCGTTCTCTGGCTGCCCGTAAACACAAAACGTGTCTCTGGTTCATGTCTGCATATCCACTCTGGCCTCGTGTCTGTGACCACAGCAGTGGTGTGGCGGTTGCCTCATGTAAAGCTTTATGGACATGGTGAGCTTTCTTCTGTGGGTTGTGGTTCCCTGCACACTGCTTGCTGAGCCTCAGTGCTGAGTTTTCTCAGTATTCTCCCACATGACATATACTGTAAATATATAGGTCTACACACACACACACACACACACACACACACACACACACACACACACACACACACACACACACACACACACACACACACACACATCCAAAACACACAGTTCCCAAGGTGTGCTGTGTTTGACTTAGAATAGT